TGTGAGGGAGGCATTGTGATTTCCCTGCGGAAAATCAGCCACCAACACGTATGATGTCTCAGATCAGAACCAACATGGATACAATTAAAGTAGATGTGGAACCAGTCACTAAAATCTCACAGACACTGTAATATGTTAACGTCATTACATATCTGCAGCTCTAAGTAAAATAATCCCCGGTGGTCCTGCCAGGAAGGTCCTTATTCAGGTACTTCCTGTTATAGGGTGACAGCACTCTTTCCCTGTCTCCTGATTGTGCTGCTGTGTTGTCACCCTGTCACATGCTCCCCCTGATGGTGACTACAGGCAGCTGTACTGATACACAGGCGTGGTCCACCGTTGTTACTATCAGGAAGCCGGTCCAGAGCAATGATGTGCAGCCGACTCTGGAGGAAGTGGAGGAAATAACAGGAGGCTGACAAGGAGATCAGTAGCACTGAGATGCAACAAAGTAAAAAAGGTGTTTTGTTGTTTATGTGGAGGGGGCAGCATGGTGGCTCAGTGGTTAGCACTTCTCCCTCGCGCCACTGGGGATTTAAATCCCAGCCAAGACGCCATCTGCATGGAGTTTGCATGTTCTTCCTGTGCATGTGTTTTCTCCGAAACTCCATGGACATCCTGATGGGTTGATTGGCTCCTGTCTAAACTGTCCTTAGTGTGTGTGTGTGTGTCGACTAGGGACCTTAGATCGTAAGCTCCATGAGGGCCGGTTCACGCCAGAAACTCTGCCTTCCAGTGCGTTTGGCCCCTGGAACGCAAGCCGGCCGGCTCCCTGCGTTCAGGGCGGTGCACCGAGGTCAATGGCACCTGGAGCCACGCCCCCCCGCCCGCACCGAGAACGCAGACACATTAGTGTTTGCGTTCCGGTCCAGTGCGTTCGGCAAAAATAGTGCTTGCAGTGTTTTTGCAGAACGCACTGGATCGGAACGTAAACACTAATGTGTCTGCATTCCAGGTTCCGGCGATCGCACTGCGGGCGGGGGGCGTATCTCCGGTGCCATTGACTTCAATGCACCGCCTTGCCCCTTCCGGCTCCTGACACAGGGAGCCGGCTGGCTTGCGTTCCAGAAGCCGAACGCACTGGAACGCGGAGTTTGTGGTGTGAACCAGCTCTGAGGGCAGGACTGATGTGAAAAAAAATAATATGTAGAGGGCTGCGGAAATTGATGGCAATAAATGGTGAACAGAGCAAACTAAGGGCTCACCACACGCCTTACAATCTTGATTGCCTCCATTAGATCTGCGCGGGCCTGTCTGATTGGATACAAATTCTCAAATGACAGTTTCTGAAGTTGATTGTACAGAGATTGTAGGGTCAGTCTGTATCGTGTATGGTGAGCCTGAAGACTCGTGCCGACGAGCGATGTTCTCCTGCGTTTGACGTGTGTTTGGAACGCAGGTCAGCAAAACCCCATTGACTTTAAAGGAGAACTATGAGGTGAGTGCTTTTCACTCACCTCATATTTCTAGCCGACCTGTGACAATGAGACTGTCACAGGTCGGCTCAGTAGATCGGGAGGTGAGCGAACATATACCGGCGTTCGCTCACCTCTCGATCCTGTCACGGCTCTCTGCCGTGACAGGGGAGGGGCTGGATTCCCCCCTCCCCGCTCCAATCCGCCAGCGCTGACTGGCGGAACGGACGGGGGAGGGGGCGGGTACAGCTGGCTCTGCCTCTAGATAGGCAGAGCCAGCTGTCAGTCACGCAGCTGGGCGGATCCCGGCACAATTGTCGGGATCCGCTCCGGCTGCGGCGTCTCAGTATACCGCGAGCTACAGCTCTAGTATACTGAGCTTAGGGTGACGGGAGGACGCTAGTTTGTGTCCTCCCGTTACCCTAAGGAGAACTATGGGGAAAAGCCCTGACCCCATAGTTCTCCTTTAATAGAGCGGTGCACAGTTCAGAGGCTGCATATGACTTGCTTCACATTGCACTGTGTTTCTTTGGATGCATTTCCTGTTGCAGGCCAAGCAAGTCAGAGGCAGACATTACATGTCACACCCTGCGTCTTCCATTTGATTGCAGCTCCAATGCGTTAAAAGGGAAAACGCAGCATTTGACAAGAACGCCCATCGACATGAACCCCCCGGAAGTCACCCAATGAGGATTCACATCTTCTTACAGGGGGGAGATAAGATCACAATCTACAAATACATCAATCAGCTGTAGAGTGCCACTTGATGGACAGTTGGAGAATAAAGGTTTAATCTCCACACATGGAAAGGCTTTTTTACCCTACTAGCTGTGTGACTGTGGTGGAGGACACTAGAGTGTAAGCTCCTCTGGTGCAGAGACTGGTGTGACTGGCTCAGTGTTCTCTGTACAGCATATGTCAGAGCTATGTAAATATATATACTATTATATATACTATATATATATACTATATATATACTATTAATAATGTGTGACTGAGGTGGGACATTAGAGTGTAAGCTCCTGTGGTACAGAGACTGATATGCCTGGCTAATAGTGTTCTCAGTGCAGCACTATAGTATATGTCAGAGCTATAAAAAATAGTGTGGGACAGTTGGGGGACATTAGACTGGCTCCTCTGGTGTTCTCTGTACAGCGCTCCAGAATATGTCAGAGCTATACACATTAAAATAACAATAGTATGTGACTGTGGAGGACATTAGAGTGTAAGCTCCTCTGGTGTAGAGACTGATGTGACTGGCTCAGTGTTCTCAGTACAGCACTACGGAATATGTCAGAGCTATATCCATGTATAATAATAGTGTGTGACTGTGGGGGGACATTAGAGTGTAAGCTCCTCTGGTGCAGAGACTGATGTGAATGGCTCAGTACTCTCTGTACAGCACTATAGTATATGTCAGAGCTATATCCATGTACAATAATACATATGTAGCTGGAGATGGGGCCGTGCACTAGTTTGTATGTCACATGATCCCTGTCCTGTTATTGGTGGTTGTTTATAGACCTGAAATCAGACCCGTCTACCCCCTCTGGGTGTCAGCGCAGCGACCGGCCACCACTGCCTGGAGAGGAGACCCGTCCGGACCCACCATGTGGGGGATAAGAACCAAATCTGTACGTCATGTCTGGGTTGGGGGGTGACGGGGATATAATTAACCCTATGGTTACTGCAATGGGGGCCGGTGGGGTGCCAGGCCTCAGATAATGGGGGGGGGAGGACTTTTGTGGGGGCATTTTAGCATGTATGCTTGTGTGGTCCTGCTACAAGAAAAGTCACATTGTCCATGTACTTCTGTCCTTATTTTTCTTCGATAGCTCAGGGTCTGATAGATAAAACATTTCACAAAAACCTGGGGGTGTCCGATCAGCCAATCAGAATTGTGTTTTCATATTTTTGGCACAGGTTAGAAAATAAAAAGGCCAATCTGATTGGTTGCTGCTGGCAATGGAAACAGTTCACATTCAGGTGTAATTTATGTGTAGCAGCTGGTTCAGTTTCACTGTCCAGGAAGAATAGCAGCTTTCATCTGAGCCTTCTCACACAGGTATTTTGGGGGGATATTTTTTGTTCTTTTTGGATATCATGAATTTTTTTTTTTTACGTATTGCGGAGTGTGTGCGACCATGATGGCATTTTAGGAGCGTCGGGGTGCGCTGTATGTCAACTTTGGTGCCTTTTATGTTTTAACGTCTATGTCATGCCAAAATGATTTATTTATAGTTTTGAACGCAGTGTTGAGTGCCGTCTGTGTTCCTGCTGGAGAGATTCATCTTCTCTGAGGTCACCGGGACAGGAAGTGATAGGAAGGACAACATTTGAGGGTCTTTTCACAATTTTCCATTTTGCAGCATAAACATGCTTGGCGATTAGACATCCCATTGTTCCCTATGGGGCTGATTCACATCAGTGTGCTGCGATCTGGTGTAAAGTACAAAGGGAAACAATGTGGGCCCATCACAGCGACACATGTGCATTAGATATAGAATCAAGTTGCAGTTGGTAAGGGTGCTATCCGCACACCTTTCAGCAGTCCCGGCCAATAAACAAAAATGGTACTTGTAGTAACTACCACGGATGGCACCGTGCAAAATACAAAGTAGAAAAAAAATATATGAATAAGTCCTTTTTATTGGACAATTGTGTCACGATAATCAAAAAGAGCCGACGTTTCGGGGCCACGCAGGGTCCCTTCTTCAAGGCAAAAGACACACGCGCGTCAGTATTCTGATACCTGCCGGCGGCCATCTTGGTGATGGACGCCGGCAGAGAGAGGAGGGGACAGTCACCTGGTGGGATAAGGTATGCCGCCGGGTCCCCTCCTCTCTCACTCACCCGGCCCGGGACTGTGTCGGATGTGTGCGGCCCCAGGGCCCGGCTCTCAGGGCCTGTTCACACGACGTCCGTTTTGTGTGCTGACCGGCTCCGTACGCTGCTGCACTCAAAATGCAACCCAATGTATCCCTATGTGTTTTATGGGCTCCAGTTCTCACGTGCGCAGTCCGTTCAGCTTACGACAGAAAAAATACTGTATGTCACATTTTGTCAGGTCCGGAAACGGTCAGGATACGCAAACGCGGCAAAAACGCGGCAAAACGCACTTCGCTGCAGCTTACATACTAACAGCCCCACTCCAGCAAAAAAAAGAAATGTTTTTTTTTTTGCTGGAACGCATCCAAAACGCGGCCAAAAATGCAATGCATCAGCAGCTCCACGTCTGCTGATCAGGACCTGATCTCATGTGAACAGGCCCTCACACAGAGTAGAACACTGAATGCTGTACTCCGTAAACCACGGCTTGCAGTGTCAGATGCTTGGCCCAGGATAGAGCGCCACCTGCTGGTCATGTCTGAGAACTGCACCCGGCCAGCAGCAGCTGAGCTCCAAGATAAATGGAGCAGCCAACTATAACTTCTGATCGCGATCTACCAGAATTAGCTTTGCGATCGACTGGTAGATCGCAATAGACCTTATGGCCACCCCTGCCCTAGGGGCTTACAATCTAAAAGGGAGGGGCAAGTGATACATGAGGAGGTAGCTGTGTGGGGATGAATTGTTTGATGTTTGAGTGGTTAGGTTGAGATGGGATCGGCTTCCTTGAAGAGACGAGTCTTTAGGGATCGCCGAAAGGCAGTCAAGGTGGGAGATAGACTTTATTAAACAAGCGTCTATACAAACCGCAAACCGATGACACGTTTCTGCCTTAGGGTCATTAGAATAACTAGTACACACAATGGTGGCTCCATAGGACCCTGCATAATACAGAATATCGGGGGCAGTGCTCAGGGGACCAGCTGATTAGAAGGAAGCTAAAACCTTTATACATTAAGAAGCAGCATCCATTGTAAGTGATTTGAAATAACCTAAAAACCTTTTGGCTTTAATATGACTTTAACAAACAACACAATACGATCCATTGGCATGAAATGAACTGCACAGAGGACACACAGGGAGATATAGAAATACAAAACGTTACATCATTTCACATATAAATGAATGCCCCACCGATGATGGAGACCCTGTAGAACCCTCAGTGGGGCCAGTGCCGGCCTTAGGGGTGTGCGAGCCGTGCGGCCGCACAGGGCGCCATGGCTACAAGGGCGCCGTGCGGCCGTCACAGCTCGTCCTGTGGGCGGCTTCTCTCCCCCTCACCGCTGGCCCTCCGCTATGACAGCGCTCCCTCGTCCGCCCCCCCACTTCGGGGGAATGGTGTGGATATTGGGGAAAATGGGTGTGGTTACGGGGGTGTGGCCACTAAAGGGTGTGGCCACTGAGGGGCGCTGTAAAGCTTTCTCGCACAGGGCGTCTAAAGGCCTAAGGCCGGCCCTGAGTGGGGCACCCGCTTATATCTGAAATAAAATGACATTCTGTTTTATTATTGTTTATTATATATTGATATGTCCTCCTCTATAGTCCCCCTTTCCTCACCAATGAAACCGTTAAACTACTCATCCACTTACTTGTTATCTCTTGTCTTGACTATAGCAACTCCCTCCTCATCGACCTTCCTCTACACAGGCTCCTCCCCCTTCAGTCTATCATGAATGCTGCTGCTAGACTTATCCACCTAACCAACTGCTCAGTGTCTGCATCCCCCCTCTGCCAATCTCTGCACTGGCTTCCATCCTCTGCCCCCCCTCTGTCAATCCCTGCACTGGCTTCCATCCTCTGCCCTCCTCTGGCAATCCCTGCACTGGCTTCCAGCCTCTGCCCTCCTCTGTCAATCCCTGCACTGGCTTCCAGCCTCTGCCCTCCTCTGTCAATCCCTGCACTGGCTTCCAGCCTCTGCCCTCCTCTGTCAATCCCTGCACTGGCTTCCAGCCTCTGCCCTCCTCTGTCAATCCCTGCACTGGCTTCCAGCCTCTGCCCTCCTCTGTCAATCCCTGCACTGGCTTCCAGCCTCTGCCCTCCTCTGTCAATCCCTGCACTGGCTTCCAGCCTCTGCCCTCCTCTGTCAATCCCTGCACTGGCTTCCAGCCTCTGCCCTCCTCTGTCAATCCCTGCACTGGCTTCCAGCCTCTGCCCTCCTCTGTCAATCCCTGCACTGGCTTCCAGCCTCTGCCCTCCTCTGTCAATCCCTGCACTGGCTTCCAGCCTCTGCCCTCCTCTGTCAATCCCTGCACTGGCTTCCAGCCTCTGCCCTCCTCTGTCAATCCCTGCACTGGCTTCCAGCCTCTGCCCTCCTCTGTCAATCCCTGCACTGGCTTCCAGCCTCTGCCCTCCTCTGTCAATCCCTGCACTGGCTTCCAGCCTCTGCCCTCCTCTGTCAATCCCTGCACTGGCTTCCAGCCTCTGCCCTCCTCTGTCAATCCCTGCACTGGCTTCCAGCCTCTGCCCTCCTCTGTCAATCCCTGCACTGGCTTCCAGCCTCTGCCCTCCTCTGTCAATCCCTGCACTGGCTTCCAGCCTCTGCCCTCCTCTGTCAATCCCTGCACTGGCTTCCAGCCTCTGCCCTCCTCTGTCAATCCCTGCACTGGCTTCCAGCCTCTGCCCTCCTCTGTCAATCCCTGCACTGGCTTCCACTCGCCCAAAGGATAACATTAAAAATATTAACAATGACTTACAAAGCCATCCACAACTCTTCCTCTGGCTATATCTGAAACCCGGTCTCAAAGTATTACCCTAACCGTCCCCTCCGCTCTTCCAAAGGCCTCCTCCTTTCCAGCTCCCTTGTCAACATCTCCCATGCTCGCCTCCTGGACTACTCTAGAGTCTCTGGAACTCTTTACCCCAACCTGTCCATCTATCTCCCACTCTGACTGCCTTTAGGCGATCCCTTAAGACTCATCTCTTCAGGGAAGCCTATCCCACCTCAACCTAACCGCTCAACCATCACATTCTCAGACAATTCATCCCCACACAGCATCCTCCTCATGTATCACTTGCCCCTCCCTTTTAGATTGTAAGCCCTCAGGGGCAAGGCCCTAATTACCATCTTGTCTTGAATTGTATTGTGATTGTAATGTCTTCCTTATATTGTAAAGCGCTGCGCAAACTGTTGGTGCTATATAAATCCTGTATTATAATAATAATAATAGTTCTTTTTATGCAGTTCATTTATTGATATGTCCTCCTCTATAGTTCTTTATACAGTTCATTTAATTCCAATGGATTATTTTTAATTAGTTGCAAGTGTTGTGTGTTACTCTTATTCAGGGCTGGGCAACCTCGGCACTCCAGCTGTTGTGAAAACTACAGGTCCCATGAAGCATTGCAAGATTCTGACAGCCACAGGCATGACTCCCAGAGGAAGATGAATTATGGGGGCTGTAGTTTTCACACCACCACAGGTATCACCAAAATGGCCACACATGCGCATGACGTAATTGTGAATGTGCATGATGACGCCACACGTATGCGCGGTGACCTCACGGCCCCTGCATTCCGTGTCTTTTTCCCATGTGTACATGTATGTTCTAAGTAAAGATAGTAGTCACCAGCACTCACTTGTAATGTGCAAAAAGGATAGCACTTTTATTGATACGTCACGTGCGTCAAGAAGTCAACATTTCGGGGCCGCACAGGGTCCCTTCATTCGTCACGATGTCGCCCTGATGAAGGGACCCTGCGTGACCTCGAAACGTTGTCTTCTTGACGCACTTGACTTATCAATAAAAAGTGCTATCCTTTTTGCACATTACAAGTGAGTGCTGGTGACTGACCACTATCTTTACTTGTATTGTTACATGGCGCCATCCGTGTCGTCATTTCGAGCACCAACGGATATTTAGTTTGGTTCAAGTGCTGTATGGTGTGCAGGTGATCCTCCAACGCTATCTGTGCATGTTCTAACGTGCATGAAAACAAAGCACATTTCCTCAGCCGTGTCTGGGGTGCGTTCTGCGCTTGGTATGCGTTTTGTGAACGTGTGTTAAAGTGCACTTGATGTACGTTCACGATATGCTATGGTGTGACTAATTATTGCCCCCCTCCCTCAGGGCAGTGAGATATTTTAACAGTGCTGTTGTGTTCAGCACCCAGATATAACTAAGGCCATCTAAGGCTGAAACGCGTCAGCAGTTGCGATTTGTATTAATAAAGGATATGCCGGAGTGCTCGTGATGTTTCCAATTTAGACTTACCAATCCTCAGAGGAAGGAATTCTCCGTGCCCTGCGTGCAGGATGTGGGGCATTGAACTGTGTTTGTGTTGTTCCTACACCAGTACGCTGCAGCGTGATTCTGGCCTTAAGCTGGCCAAACACTGGTAGGATTTTGATTTTGTTAGACAAAAATCAGTTTTTGCAACGCGCTTTCAATTTTCTAATAATCGGGTCAAATCAATGAAGTGACAAAAGAAAATTGAAGGTGCGGGATAGAAAATTCTTCAAGTCCAATAGGGGTTTATTCCTTACTTTGGAGGGATTTCCTCTCACTTCCTGTTGTGCCTATGAGACAGGAAGTGAAGGAAAATCTCCCCAATAGGACACAGATGGCAAAAACGCCTGAAAGGGGTTATAATCCTCCCTTAGTGTATCCAAAATGAAAAAAAATGTTACCTTTAGTTTGACTTTAATCCTGGCTCTAGACACAGCAATGATCTGGCAACTCAGGTGATCAAATGTTTAGAGGGCGTCCATGATCCAGGACAAAATGTGGTATTGCGCAGTTGCCCGTAGCAACCGATGAGGTTTCTCTTTTTCTCTTTTCTAAACTACTGCAGAAAACATCTCCTGGAATTTGGAGCAATGGAACCACCATTGCTAAATGTGTTTTGCGGCATCTATGTAGTCGACTCCCATAGGGTGACCAATGAAATATTCCTCATCCCGATAACTACATTTTAACTCTCCTCCGCAGAGGGAATGCATCTCAATACACATAGGCCAGGCTGGCGTCCAGATTGGCAACGCATGCTGGGAACTCTTCTGCTTGGAGCATGGCATCGAGCCTGATGGCATTGTGAGGGACAAAGCAAAGCAACCATGTCAGGACGACTCCTTCACCACCTTCTTCAGCGAGACTGCCAATGGGAAACATGTGCCGCGGGCCATCATGGTTGACCTGGAGCCCTCTGTCGTGGGTAAGTGAACAAGGACTACCTACTGTGCCTCACTGGCAAGGAACACTGAGAGACTTGTCATCAGAATGTGTTTAAGTGGACCTGTCATCAGATATTTTATTTCATGTTCAGTACAACATGCCAAGCCAGGGGTGGGCAACACTACTGTGCTTTAACTACAAATCCCAACATGCCTCTGCCTCTAAGAGTCATGCCTGTCACTGTCAAGCTTGCAATGCCTCATGGGACTTGTAGTTCCACAACAGCTGGAGGTCTGGCGTTGCCCACCCCTGTGCTAAGCAATGTGATGATAACATTTCCAAGTAATTATTACACCTCGCAGAGATCACTGTACTCCTAATCACAATGCCTCCATCTGCTTTCCTCCCCAGAAGGACAGCACCAGATCAGCCTCTGCTGCAGCCTCTTACCTTGTGACTTGCTGCAAAGTTACAATGTTGCGGTCCAAACACTGGAGGAGGGGAGACTGAGGAAAGGCTTCCTCCTGCCTGCAGCAGACTGATCATGGGGGGAGAGGAGACTGAGGAAATGCTTCCTCCTTCCTGCAGCAGACTGATCACTGGGGGAGAGGAGACTGAGGAAATGCTTCCTCCTGCCTGCAGCAGACTGATCACTGGGGGAGAGGAGACTGGGGAAAGGCTTCCTCCTGCCTACAGCAGACTGATCACTGGGTGAGAGAAGACTGAGGAAATGCTTCCTCCTGCCTGCAGCAGACTGATCACTGGGGGAGCGTAGAACTGAGGAAAGGCTTCCTCCTGCCTGCCGCAGACTGATCACGGGGGAGAGGAGACTGAGCAAATGCCTCCTCTTGCCTGCAGCAGACTGATTACATCATCTCAGCCTAGACAAACTCACTAACTAGAGGTCAAGGGCGGCTCTATAAAAATAAGAGGTGTAGCTTTTCTGAGAAATGATACTGCTGCTTTATATTGTGACATTGTGGGGGTGACACGTCCGTGCAAACTTGGACCTGAAAGGTCCACTTTAAATAACTTTTCGGGAAAACCAAACGTAATCTAGCCGGATATATCGGGACTTTTAGCGCCTCCGATAACACGAAGACTCCCGGGGGGACATCTCTACATCTGGAGCACCAGGAAAAAACGGGAATTTCTGGCCTTGGGAAATAACAAAGCAATTTGTGTTTTATAATTCTCTGTTTTGTAAAAAGGAAAATCTGCAGTGTGAAGAGAACGATAGTCATTCCTTTGTTTGGCTACAGTCCCCTTTCGGGTCACAGGAGGACAATCACTAATATAGTCCTGGGACCCAAAATCAGCATCTAGCTTGCTATTGCCTGCTGCTTCCTGACAGCGCAGAGCCGTGCTGCAGCCAGGGAGACATCCCGACAATAATGTCAGGAATCAATGCAGTTTAGTGTAAGTACCTAAACCTGACCCGGTATCAGCCTCTTGTAGTCCCTGTACAGCAGAGCTCTTCCTGGGGGAGAAGGAAGCAGCACAAGGAGCCGCTCAGTTGTACTGCAACACTCGTGTGCTAATAACAGACATGCTAATAGCAGTAGAGAGCAGAGTGATGGGGAGATGAGCTCATCAGTCTGCTTCTCATTATTGCACTAACCAGGCACAGAATGGAGGAGGGGCAACACCTGTAGGCGTTCCTTTGCTGCAGCAGAGAAAATTCAGGTCTCCTTCTCCGTAAGACAGGGCTGTGCTGTGTAAATCTTAGAACTTGATGGAAACACAAATAATGCAAGCAGCTCTGTTTTATGTAGTGTATAAAGCTGGCTGCCTGGAGTTGAGCTGTAGGCCTCATTCACACGACAATCGGCCGGCACGTACAGCTCCGTGCTGTGTGCAGGGCCATATCGGGCAGCTCCCCGGAAGGACAGGTGCTGCGTGTGATTAGTACTCAGCCCCCGTCCTTCTCTATGGGACTATCATGGCCATAAGCCGCACTACGCTCACCCCAAGTGCATGTCCGTACGGGTGCGTGTTTCCTGGCCCGGGTGCAGACAGGATCCATCCTGTCAGTGTACGAGTATGCTCATCTGCACCCGCACGGACGTGCAGGGCGGGTGAGCGTAGGGGGCGTACGGCCGCGTACTCCCATAGAGAAGGATAGGGGCTGCGTACTAATCACACACAGCACCTGCCCTTCCCGGGAGATGCCCGATACGGCCGTGCACGCAGCACGGAGCTATACGATTCCAGTGTGAACGAGGGCTTAAAGTAAATCTGTCTTCCATTTTAAATGTTGAAAATTAACACCCCACCAATGAGTCCGTGTCATAAGGGGCTTGCTGTTCTTGATCAGAAAACACACCTCTGTGTGCCCCTCTGATGCTGGTTTCACTTTGTTCCACCACTTCCTTGACTTTTGGTATAAAAAGCTCACCTGTCTACAGCCAACACTTAAGTGCCATTGGCGTCTGTAATAGGGTTTGCTGGGACTAAACCCTGAATTCATGGATGTACTACTTACAAAGTGAAACCAACATCAGAGGGGCACACTGAGGAGGATAGGGGAAGCACAGCAGCTATGTGGTTAGCACTCCAGCCTCAGGTTCATTGTTCCGATCTCTCCGCAGATGAGGTCCGCAATGGGGCATATCGCCAACTCTTCCACCCAGAACAGCTTATCACAGGAAAAGAGGACGCGGCCAACAACTACGCCCGGGGTCACTACACCATCGGCAAGGAGTGCATCGATCTGGTGCTGGATCGTATCCGGAAGCTGGTGAGTTCAGGGTTTTATATTGATGTTTTCTGCTTATGGGGTGGAGAATTATTAGACTTTATAATATAAAGGGAATCTTTTTTTTTAGACTTACCTTAAAGGGTTATTAAACCTTCATTTGTTTTTGCATATACACTATATTGCCAAAAGTATTGGGGCGCCCCTACAAATCATTGGATTCAGGTGTTCCGTGAAATTTCCTTGCTACTAAATATTCTGCGGTCACCTGTTAGAGGTATTATAACAAAGTGGAAGCAACTGGGAACAACAGCAACTCAGCCGCGAAGTGGTAGGCCACGTAAAATGACAGAGCGAGGTCAGCGCATGTGGAAGCGCACGTTGCGCAGAAGTCGCCAACTGTCTGCAGAGTCAATAGCTACAGACCTCCAAACTTCGTGTGGCCTTCCTATTGGCACAACAACAGTGCGTAGAGAGCTTCATGGAATGGGTTTCCATGGCCGAGCAGCTGCATCCAAGTCTTACATCACCAAGTTCAATGCAAAGTGTCGGATGCCGTGGTGTAAAGCACGCCGCAACTGGACTCTAGAGAAGTGGAGACGTGTTCTCTGGAGTGACCAATCACGCTTCTCTGTCTGGCAATCCGATGAACGTGTCTGGGTTTGGCGGTTGCCAGGAGAACGGTACTTGCCTGACTGCATTGTGCCAAGTGTAAAGTTTGGTGGAGGGGGGATTATGGTGCGGGGTTGTCTCTCAGGGGTTGGGCTTGGCCCCTTAGTTCCAGTGAAGGGAACTCTTAAGGCATCAGCATACCAAGACATTTTGGACAATTTCATGCTCCCAACTTTGTGGGAGGAGTTTGGGGATGGCCCCTTCCTGTTCCATCATGACTGCGCACCAGTGCACAAAGCAAGGTCCATAAAGACATGGATGAGCGAGTTTGGGGTGGAGAAACTTGACTGGCCTGCACAGAGTCCTGACCTCAACCCGATAGATCACCGATAGATTACCTCACAAATGGTCCAACATTCCCATAGACACACTCCTAAACCTTGTGGACGGCTTCCCAGAAGATTTGAAGCTGTTATAGCGGCAAAGGGCGGAGCCAACTCAATTTTCAACCCTACGGACTAAGACTGGGATGCCATTAAAGTTCATGTGCGTGTAAAGGCCGGCGTCCCAATACTTTTGGTAATATAGTGTATCTACTGCTAGCAAACTCCCGTGCGCTCCCGTCCGATCATCTGAAAATTGCTCGTGCGGCCGCAAAGGATCTTGGGGCAGGCGCATGTGCAGTTCAGATGTTCGGCCGGGAGATGAGGAGAGACACAAGGTAAGTCTATGGAGCAGCGTGCAGCCGCACAGACACCGTGGAACATGAGCGAAGAGGACAGAGGAGTCAGCGAGGATCGGAGACCTGCCGCAGCGCTGGAAAGACAGCTGAAAAGTGCAGGAAAGAAGAAGATGTTCAAATTAAGAGGCATCATTTAAGGTAAGTCCTTATTTTAGCATTGTGGGGGGGACTTTAGCCTTTAATGTCACTTTAAGTTGATTGGCTTAATATAATTGAATGAATAAAATCACAGTCCACATTCAATGACTGCCAACCGACCCTCAGGTTGAGGGCAAAGTGATACTGGCTCATAATAACCCAACTTCTCAGCAAGGTCTACTCATCCTTCCCTCCTCACATCCCTGCTCCATCTAAGGGAGTGGGACGTCTGTGGCCTTGGCAGCATATGACGTCCTCCACATGGCAGTTCTGGGCGACCAACTGCCAGGCCTGGGCACTGTAACATGATGAGGGGCAGTGGCACAGGGTAAGCTCCAATACTGGGTCTTACCTTGGTTGGACTCCTATAGCAGGTAGGCAGTGAGGGAGCTTGCTGAGTATACTTAGGCTAATGCCATAGGCTTTTCTATAAAACCCAGCTATGCCAACCTGCCTTGGTCATTATAAGTGTTCTCACTGTTGCGCTTCAGTATTTACTTTATTGAGAAAGCAGCCTTTGTTCTCTTTCAGTGTGATGCTTGCTCAGGTCTACAAGGATTCCTCATCTTCCACAGTTTTGGAGGAGGGACCGGCTCTGGCTTTACCTCCCTCCTAATGGAACGGCTCTCTGTAGATTATGGGAAGAAATCCAAACTTGAATTTGCCATCTACCCAGCTCCCCAAATCTCAACTGCCGTGGTAGAGCCATACAACTCCATCCTTACCACCCACACCACGCTGGAGCACTCAGACTGTGCCTTCATGGTGGACAATGAGGCAATTTTTGACATCTGCCAACGCAACCTGGACATAGAGCGCCCGACTTACGTTGACCTCAACCGCCTCATTGGCCAGATCGTTTCCTCCATCACAGCCTCGCTGCGCTTTGCTGGCGCTCTGAATGTGGATCTGACAGAGTTCCAGACCAACCTGGTGCCCTACCCACGCATTCATTTCCCTCTGGTCACCTACGCACCCATTATCTCGACAGAGAAAGCGTATCATGAACAACTGACCGTAGCTGACATCACCAACTCTTGCTTCGACCCGGCAAACCAGATGGTGAAGTGTGACCCTCGTCATGGCAAATACATGGCCTGCTGCATGCTCTACAGAGGTGATGTGGTACCCAAGGACGTCAACGTGGCCATCGCCCACATTAAAACTAAGAAAAATATTCAATTTGTGGACTGGTGTCCTACAGGGTTCAAGGTGAGAAGATAATCGGTGGGTGTAAAAATCTTCAAAGCTGTGAGATTTCAGGAAGTTTAGCCTTTTCTTATAGGGGACACTTGTAGGTCTTCAAAATCTTGAAAGCCACAAATTGCCTAGTCTCCAGAGGCGTAACTAGAAACTTCAGGGCCCCGCTGCAAGAAACCATGAAGGGCCCCCCCAACCCTCCACCGCCATGGGAAGGCGCTATAAACAGGCACCATTTGGTTAACAGGAAGGCTGCCGAGGTCTGTTGAGACCGCCGGTCCAGTATCTGCGCTTGCGCACAGACCGGGTTAACAAGGAAACCAGCATTTTTTTACAAAGTATTAGCTTGTAATTGTTAATTGTTTATAATATGCCATCCATGGCAGTAAATGATGGATGGCAGTAAATGATGGATGGCATATTATTAACGGTCACAATTAATGATTTAAACAAAATACTTTGTGAATAAATCCCGGTTTCCTCGACAATACTGGTCTGTGCGCAAGCGCAGATGCTGAGGTCGGCAAATTCGACTAGGTCGGCGTTCTCGACAGAACACCGGTATCTGCGCTTAGTATCAGGAGTACGAGTGAAAATGCCCAGTACTGGCACTGGTGCATCCCTACTTAATAATATAATGTATTGCTGGGACTTGTAGTCCTGCATAGTTGGTGCTATTCTGCATTGCTGTATATTCATTATACAGCAATGTAGAATACCATCAGCTATGCAGGACTACAAGTCCCAGCAATGCATTATAATGAAAATATACCACCAGATTCTCCCTCCCCACTGAATACCACCAGCTTCTTCAAAATCTTGAAAGCCACAAATTGCATAGTCTCCAGAGGCATAACTGGAAGCTTCAGGGCCCATTCCTGCTGGCTTTCCCACTGGGGAGATCTCCCCTCACTTCCTGTGTAGTCATCAGGACAGGAAATAAAGGAAACTCTCCAGTGCCAATATGGATAGCAGTAAATCCCTAACAGATATTCTAACCTTTAGTCACTCTATATACGCTGTATATAGAATATTATATGAATTTTAACTTTTCTCCGGTCTTTACCTGCCTCTGCACGGTAGATAAGATGGGCCATTCCAGGGCTCTTTTTACATAGGTTCCGAGTAGAAGGTTCTGCCTTAACTATAATCAGAGATAAATGTCACACTGCATTACACCTTAGGATGGTACCAGACATGCAGACTTCTCAGGGAGCCAATTACAAGAGCAGGGGCGTGAGGACTCACAGAAAATAAAAGAATTGAAAAAAATGTTCTAAGGGTAGCAGTGATGTTAAAGGTCTTCAACATGGGATCTTGGGACAGCTGAGGATCCAAAATCTCCTCTCAGGAGCAACTTTTTGTGAGATTGACTCTCGGATACCCTTTAGATTCACATCTATATTTTAGAGTGATTAGGGAATTCTGCGTCAGGAACTTGTGATCTCCTGCAGCAGCAATCCCTAATCTGCCGCTTACAAGCAGCAGCTGTCACCCATTCTAGTTATTGCATTTGAACACCGGCACACCGCATGTGATAATATGTGATATTATTACATGTGATTAGGAATCATTCACTTTCCCTGGATGCATTGATCGTGCGTAGTGGGATAGTGATTTATTCCTAAACGCATGTAATTGTATTATATACCATTACATGTGGTGTGCCGGTGTTCTGCCTTTTTTAAATGCAGCCGCTGTCATCCGATCTTAACGTGAATGGGTGACAGCTGCCACTTGTGAACAGCAGTTTAGGGATTCCTGCTGCAGGAGATCACAAGTTCCTGATGCAGGAATCCCTAATTTGCACCTAAAATATAGGTGTGAATGGAGCCTTGATCCAGAGCTGTGCACTGCAGTACCTCTTCTTTGCCACAAGATGTCCTCAGTCTGAATGAATCCCAGCAGAGGAAAAACTGTAAGTGCAGAGTGTCATGGCCCAGCCTCCCAAGGATGGTGCGTGGCATTCATGTGTATTGATGGGAGGATAGGTGCTGATGTCATCATGTCAGCGCAGTTCTCTGCATCATCCAGGACCGCCCACCACCAGGCGAATACTGAAGAGGAAGCAGACCCAGCACGTGACCCGGCCAAGAGACATCTGAAAAAGGTAAGTTAAAATTTGCAAAAAGCATAACATACTGCTGGGTGGGGGGGAAGGGGGTGCTCAAAAGATGGAAGAGCCCAGAGTTGGGTTTTATATTACAAATGACTTTGGTAACAATTATAAATGTCTTACCAATCTTTAAACTGAAGCTTTACTCAAAACAATTTTTTTTGTTACTGACCCCCCTCCAAATACATTTTTAGTTGGAATATTTCATATAAAATAATAAATACCCTTGTTGTGTTTCCTGTAACTGCTGATAATGGCGCCCAATACATCCTTCCCAAGCCCTAATAAATAGATTCCCTCCTCTTGCAGGTTGGCATCAATTACCAGCCCCCCACCGTGGTGCCCGGGGGCAACCTGGCCCAAGTGCAGCGCGCCGTCTGCATGCTCAGCAACACCACCGCCATCGCTGAGGCCTGGGCACGCTTGGACCACAAGTTTGACCTCATGTACGCCAAGCGGGCATTTGTCCACTGGTATGTAGGCGAGGGCATGGAGGAGGGCGAGTTTTCCGAAGCTCGCGAGGATCTGGCCGCTCTGGAGAAGGATTATGAGGAGGTCGGGATGGACTCATATGAAGAGGAGAACGATATGGAAGTTTATTGACAATAACAAGGCTGATAGATACTAAAAAATAAATATAATCCCTCAATGTGACCTGTGATTTCTTCTGAATATAAATGTCGGTTTCCTGTTGTAACAATGTGACAGTATCAGGAGGTTAAGAGCCCAGAGACCTCTGTCGGGGTGGTCACAATCAGGGGTGCAATCACCCTCAGTCATACCGGTCCCCCAGCCAGACGTTCATGCTTATTCCTGTGCAGAGGGAAGGATAATGGAACAGGATGAGGGTGACACCTATTTCACTATAGGGCAATACTAATTAGATGATGTTGACCCCTTAGACATGAGACCGCCTCCCAGTCTGTTGACTGTCACTTCATACCCTTCTTGTGCCTGTTCAATTATTCCAAAACTTTAAAGGGAGTTGCTTTACCTGCCAAGGAATTTGTATTTCTGTCCATCCAGTCCTGAGATTCACACACAGCTCTGCCACACAGCACAGCTCTGACTTGCAAGGAAGGAGAACTGATTTTCCTCTCCTTCAGGTAAGTAACACTTACAGGTCTTGCTCCTCCACCAACCAGTGACAGGATAGTTAAAAGAGAAGCAGCAGACTGATAAGCTCATCTCTCTGTCACTCTGCTCTCTTCTCCTATACTCCTTGCACTGCAGCACTACTGATTAGTTCCATGTGCTGCTTCTACCTCCCCCAGTCTGAGCTGCAAGGGACTGCAAAAGACTGATACCAAGTCAAATTCAGGTACTTACAATGCACCCAATTAAAAAATATATATTTATAGTCTCCACCAGGGCATCGCCTGACAAGGTGACAACACAGGAGTGACAGTGTGAAAGAGGCTTAACAAAGTGTCTTGTGGCTAGGCAGTAACCTGGAGGCCATTCGAATGGGAGGAGTAATGGTCTGTCCGAGTCCTAAGCGTAAACACACCCTAGAATTCGAGCTATATGTTTGTTCCACCAAACTTTACCTCTTTCACATTACGCGCACCCACACTTATTGCATGTCATTTTTATAGAAGACAACTAGGACTTTCCTTTGACATCAAATGTATATAAATTAGCCATATACAGTAAACTCTCTGTTATACGGTATTCTATTAAACGGATCTCTCATCTAACCACTAAAAAACAAACCCACTGTGCACTCACTGTTCTGCAACCTTCTAGGAGAGGGCTCTGCAGCAAGGGAAGGTAGAGAAACGGGCCAAAAAGTGCTCTATTATCCTGGGATCTAGTGTCTGAACGATCTGTGAAAAGTGCTCTATTATCCTGCGAATGATTGTCTGTAAACAAGCACCACCTAGTGATCACTCCCAGTACTGCACTATATTGCTCATAGATTATAATAATACCGATCTCCAGTCCTAATGTTAGGCAGCTACAGTGCACACAGCATTACAGCACCTATAATAGAGCATCTACACATCCCCGCAATACATTATACAGCAATGCAGAATAATATCCTCAGCTATAGAGGATTACATATCCCAGCAATACATTATACAGCAAATACAGAATGTCACCAGCTATAGAGGACTACAGATCCCAGCAATACATTATACAGCAATACAGAATAATACCATCAGCTATGGAGGACTACATATCCCAGCAATACATTATACAGCAATACAGAATAATACCATCAGCTATAGAGGACTACATATCCCAGCAATACATTATACAGCAATACAGAATAATACCATCAGCTATAGAGGACTACATATCCCAGCAATACATTATACAGCAAAACAGAATAATACCATCAGCTACAAAGGACTACAGATCCCAGCAATACATTATACAGCAATACAGAATAATACAATCAGCTATAGAGGATTACAGATCCCACAATACATTATACAGCAATACAGAATAATACCATCAGTTATAGAGGACTACAGATCCTAGCAATACATTATACAGCAATGCAGAATAATACAATCAGCTATAGAGGATTACAGATCCCAGCAATATATTATACAGCAATACAGAATAATACCATCAGCTATAGAGGATTACAGATCCCAGCAATACATACAGCAATACAGAATAATACCATCAGCTATAGAGGACTACCGATCCCAGCAATACATTATACAGCAATACAGAATAATACCATCAGCTATAGAGGACTACGAATCCCAGCAATACATACAGCAATGCAGAATAATAGTAAATGAATTTGCTAAATACTCTGTGCTGCTGCTCTGCTCCAGGGTACCGGCTTGATGTCTAAGGTGGAGGATCTCAGGAAGGATGCAGTGGGCCCACAGTTCGGTCACCCACACTGAAACGCGCGGTACCACAATGCCGTCCGTTCCATTGCAGTGCAACTTGGGTCACAACTTAATGACCAAGGAAAAATGTGGGTCCTGAGGTTACACAGGTTGAGAACCACTGGTGTAGCATACATGTAAAAGGTTAACAGATAGAAACACACACAAAAAGACATAATAAAAACAAATAAAAAAGCAAATTCACATTTTATTCACAAGAAAATTCACATTTGTTGATGCTGACAGACCAATAACTTAGATTGGGCTTGATGTGGTCCACAACACTGCAAATGCTCATGTGTAATAACGTCACGTTCACCTTTCTAAACCTGCCACTTAAAAATGTCACTGCATATAATAGAGAGGCATTAGGTACTGCATGTGATACATAGGGACAAGTAAGAATATAGGCACCGGCACTTCAATTGCAAATTAGATACGTCTATTTATGATTTACATGCAGCATAGCATAACACACTTAGTGCAGCATGTATGTCAATAAATAAATGCATCTAATTTGCTATTGGAGTGCTGGTGTCATATTCTTACTTATGCATAGAGACGGTGGCCATCCATCGACTGCGGTTGCACCTGTTAATTTTCACAGAACTGCAGTTAGGAATGCGATGGGTATATGGACTGTACATATCTGTAACCAGATACATAGGGACAAAACACTCTGGGGCTGATTTACTAAAGGCAAATAGGCTGTTCACTTTCCAAGGGAACTTGCACATTGCAGGGGAAGTTTCCCTTTGTTTGGTGAATGTGGTGATATTACTTTGCAAAGAACACCCAACCACATGTATGATAGATGAAAAGTGTTTATGCTTGCACATGATTGGATGATGGAAGTCAGCAGAACGTCACCTCATTCACAAAGCTAAGGGAAGCTTCCCCTGCAGTGCAAAGTGCAAATTCCCTTGGAAAGTGAACAGCCTATTTGCCTTTAGTAAATTAACCCCTCTGTGTAATATATAGTGATAAAGGGCTGTATACAATACTATATACACTTTGAACTACGCCTGCATGCATGTGCAGATATCTGTGCACATAGCAATCATAATCCTACAAAAAGCTCTCATAGTTGGCAGACATGCAACATGAGATGGTCAGAGTCGGCAGAAAAGCAATAGGAGATGGTCAGAGAGTGCAGATATGCCACAGAAAATGACATTTAGTGAATATAACCCTATACAAAAAGCTGTCAGAGATGGCAGACATGCAACAGGAGATGGTTAGAGACTGCAGATTTGCAACAGGAAAAGGTCAGAAACTGCTGACATGCATTAAGAGATGATCACATACTGCCAACACGCAACAGGAGATGGTCAGAGACTATAGACATGCAACAGGAGATGGTCAGAGACTCCAGACATGTTACAGGAGATGGTCAAAGACTCCAGACATGCAACAGGAGATGGTCAGAGACTATAGACATGCAACAAGAGATTGTCAGAGACTCCAGACATGTTACAGGAGATGGTCAGAGACTCCAGACATGTTACAGGAGATGGTCAGAGACTCCAGACATGCAACAGGAGATGGTCAGAGACTCCAGACATGTTACAGGAGATGGTCAAAGACTCCAGACATGCAACAGGAGATGGTTAGAGACTCCAGACATGCAACAGGAGATGGTCAGAGACTCCAGACATGTTACAGGAGAAGGTCAGAGACTCCAGACATGCAACAGGAGATGGTCAGAGACTCCAGACATGTTACAGGAGATGGTCAGAGACTCCAGACATGCAACAGGACATTGTCAGGGACAGCTGACATGCAATAGGAGTTGTCGGAGGCTGGAGCTTTAACAGACAGTCACGAGCGATATATAATATGAAACTAAACCAGACCATTCCACTACTAGAAGCCAATCAAAAGCATATTTTATCACGTACAGCTGTGTAATTCTCGTTCCACTTAAATACAGCTCTCCATTGTCACTAATGGCCCTTCAGTCACTAGCCCCCTTTCTGTTTGGGAGGCCCACAAATGTGTTCTCCGGGATTCTCATTAGATATGGGGCGCGCCGTAAACGAGAGGACAAACCAGATGACTCAGCTACTAGAGCGTATTCCATCCCTGGAGACCCAACATAAAAGGACGGTGGCCCTGGATGTGCAGATCACCTTGAACCAGGCCCATGAGGCTTTAAACTCTCTATTGTCCAAGCGCTTGAAGCAGCGCTTGGTCACCTCACCTGTAGGCGCACGTTCTACGAGTTTTTAAACAAGCCCAGACGAATGTTGGGAACCTTTGATATCCCACATTCTTTCTCACTCCGGTTCGAAATTGTCTTTATCTAAGGACATAGCAGCAGAGTTTGCAGACATTTATAGTCATCTATACAATCTACATCCGGAGCCCTTGGAAACAGCAGCGGCGGACCGAACGCGGCGCATTGCAGACTATCTTCGGCGGTCAGGCCTACCTACTCTAGCGTCAGAGGTCGGAGATGTGTTAGGCTTACCCCTTGACAACGGAGGTACTGGCTCTAGCGCTCAAACAAATGAAGGCTGTGAAGGCACCCGGGCCGGACAGGTTCACTTTGGTTTATTACCATCAATTTGAGTCCCTCCTCGCCCCCCACTTCCTGAAAGCTTACAATGCCATTATTGATGGGGTCTCTATGCCGCTTGACTCTCTGAGGGCACATATTACAGTGATCCCGAAAGCGGACAAAGATCCCGCCCAGCGCGGTAGTTAATGTCCGTTTGCCCTCCTTAATGTGGACCTTAAGCTAT